CAGAGGCCGAGCGGTTCAGCCTCGGTTATATTAATGAATTTGGTACCTGGTCACTCTTGTCTAGCGAGCCGGCAACAAAGCGCCAAAAGATATCGTAGCGTGATGTGTAGTTTTAATCTCCAAAGTTCGTCAGCCATCATGATGGCCGCTTTTTCACTCTTGCCGTGCAAGACTTTATTCTCGTCAATAAAAAGATTATCACTATGCTGCGCCGCTGCGCCGCTCAGCTGGCGCTACGCGAACGGGAATATTTTTTTACTTCAAACACTTCACAATAGCTATGCTAGCCACAAACGAAATTTCGTCGCCATTTGGCGAACGCAGCCAATGCTGCTTTCTCACATCTTACTCGCCAATGCAATCGGGCCGCTAGTGGTAGGTCAAGTGCCCAATGCTTTGTTTCCCCGCACACAGCTGACACGTGAGGTTGGCCATCCCTACAAGTGCCCAGTAATTACTTTTCTCTCTTCAGGACAATTGCTGCTTTTGGCAGGTTACAACCACCGACAAACCAGTAATTTCAAGATGCACACGAATATGACACTTCTTGATCCCAGCGGTGACTTGATCGTAATTATTCAGGACCCGAACGAACAAGACTTGCTGGCGGGCATTGTTCTAAGCCCCCAAGACCATCTGGGATCGGTGGCGGGCATTGTTCTTGGCCCCTCTGAAGGGAAGAAAAAGACGAATGCGGCGGGGAGGCGACAAATGCGTCGACGCGGCTTGCGCATGAATCAAGAGCCAGATACCGTGCCAGCAGACAGTGCAATCGTTCACGGCGGACCGTCCTCGACACGACTTGGAGAAAGCGTCAATACTTTGGAGGGGCTTACCCTAGCATACAACGAGGATCAGACACTTCTCACCAAAGATTATGCCGCCCCATCAATCAATATAGACGGGTCGAACGAGCAGCATCCTCTTGGTACGTTGGAACCAGAGAAAGATGACGAACAAAACGCGGCGTGTTTTCGCATATCCTCTAGCCACCTAAGACTGGCATCAGGTCAAGTCCGCCGACGCTTAAGCAGTGCCTACCACGGCACAGTGAAAGACCAGTTAACGCTAGAAGATGGGACAATATGCGATGTGTTGCGTACAGAACAATGGGATAGGAACGCCTTCCTCATCTTCTTGAACATAGTGCATGGACATAATCGACAAGTGCCCGATTCTGTGAGCATCGACACTCTTGGGAAGCTCGCAATTCTCGTGGACTATTATGAATGTCACGAAAGGGTTGAAGTGTTTGCCACACGTTGGATTGAAGCATTGAAAGGCGATCTTCCAAACGCGTATGGGGAGACTACCATTTTGTGGTTGGCCATATCGTGGGTATTTATGGAGAAAAGTATCTTCAAAAGGATGACCGAAATGGTCCTGAAACACAGCAAATGTCCGTTCGAAGCAGACGCGCTGCCACTGCCACCCATGCTCATTGGTACGCATACTTTCCCGCCACCGTTCATTCATGAACTTGTTAATGTGATGGTTCAGCAAAGTTAGAGAGCGAAAGACAGCGGGCAATCCGGAAATTACTTGAATCGGTGGTCCGCTTACAGACAGATCTCGAAGAAGGGAGAAGAGGTTGTAGCGATGCGTGTTGCTGTATGTTATTAGGTTCAATCATAAAGGAGAGGAAAAAGCACAAAGTCGGAGATGTTTGGTCGATTACGCCCTTCGATGGCCGTAGCTTGGAAGCATCAAAGCAGGTGGTGATGAAATTTCAATCACCGAGATGGTTTTTGCAGCCGAGCAGTTACAGTAGCGCCCATAACTGTACGCTGGTGAAACTGCTTCAGTCAGATATTGACGAGATTTGGAGATCTCTTCATGGGTTTGAGCTTGAAGATTATTTACCGGTATACGAACGTGGCACAGCTGTTAAAACATAGGCGCCTTCTGCCGCAACCCGAGTATCCTTATACAATTGTTTTGTTTTTGCTCTTACTCAGCCATACTCTCCCGGGCCCGTTTCGCACATTCAGCCAATCCAATCACCCTTGCATTTTTGCCCTCCGCGACGCACGCGAAAACCCAACCCATTTCTAAGGAGGGGAAAGAAAAGAAGAAGTTGGAGGTAGTGAAGAAGAGGCAAAAGGTCTAGTATATATCGTCAAAGGGGCAGGTTAAACAGGGGCATCATGATTCATTCATGTGTACAAAGCATTAATCCTACTCGCTCTCATTGCGGTCTAAGAATAGTAGCGCTTGGTCAACATCGCCCAAGTTCTTGAGCGTAATATGAGATAGTTGTGCTCTCGTCGTCTTTAAATATAGATTTTATTTTTTATTGTCAATAAAGTTATATCTTTATTATTGTTTGGTGCAAAAACAGCTTCGGCTCCCACTCTATCTTTCAAATTTAGCGGGCGCTGTAAAAGCTAAAACCGAGCGGCTATTAGTGGGTGTTTACAGGCCATCACGCTAAGCAACAGGCGCCTTAGGCTGCTGCGCCTACCTTCTTTTTCTGCAGTGTAAGTGAGGGGGTGAATCGATGAATCTAATTATGCACCAAACAATACGCTGAACTTGAACTCCATTGTATTCAGGCACTATATGTACATAGCACAAGTTGTAATGCGTAACTGATAGCTAGGCCGTCCTAAGCCTTTGTATAGGCTTGCTGCCTACCCAAGAGTAACTCGGTCGGGCCGCTCGAAGCTGGATTCAAGTTTGGCAAGAGAGCGATTAGATGACTTAGCATCCCCCCGCCCCGCCCAGGCTTGCCCGACCAACCTGAACCACGTTGAGATGTGCGCAAATTCTACTGGCCACGAGACTCAAAAGACTCCTGCGGCCGAGCACATATACGCAGCGGTGTGTGAGAGAGGCCTACTACTAGTGATGCATGTCGCACATCTAAAGTGATGCATTGCTTGACGAGTCAACGTGTGCTGCAGGACCTTATGATGTGACTGTTGACTGGTAGGAGCGACGAACTAACAACCTTTCCTAAAGGCTAAGGTATGATAAGCAGGCCATACAATTTGCATCCAGTCGCTGTGTACATACCCAGTAAAGCGCATCTCCACGGAGCGGTCCCGCCGCAGCAACAGGATGCAGGCAGAATCGGTCCTATGTGGTACGTGTGTGAATCGCAGAAGTTTTGGCAAACTAGACCCGGCGATCAGCGGCCTCGTTACTCCGCTTGAGGATGACAGGGATACTGGACTGTGCGTATTCTGTCAACCACTGTGATGCTTTCTTGTAGGAAATACTTACAAATCAGAATGGACAAAGCTTGGGCAAAAAAGGGCTTCATATACATGCAAAGAGTGTCACTGACCTTCGCCTACACGGTCGGTGAATGAAGCGTTGTTGCCAGCACAGCTCCTCATAAACCGTAGTTTTACAGGATTTGAGGAAAGTCACCTTCAAAGCTCACCAACATGACCACACTCTCCAAAACTGGTCTCAGTCTCCGCATGCGCCTGCATACAACTCCACAGTGGTGATCCAACTGGAGGTTGACACGATGCCATACATGCGGCAGGTGTTGCCCTACATGCAGACTCAACGCGAGTCGCAGCAGCATCATCAACATAAACTGGTCCAGGCGAGTCTGTGCAAATGATTGATTTGCCTTACATGAGAAGTCAGTCATGCATAACCCCGCAAAAAGGCGTCAAGCTCAGCCCTCTGTAGACGGCTAGAGGTGTAATGTATATAGATCACTAGACCCCAGATTCAAATGCAGTGTAATGTTAGTGACGTAGTGCAATAGACCAGATAACAGAAGTAATATTTGACTTGAACGCGCGCGCCAAATATGCGATGATAAAAGGTTCCTGGTAGACTCATATTTTTGCGAATGGGCTTTTGGATGGGCCATGGGTGCCGCCAGAGGCCATGAATGCGAACTTGGTTGACACGGAAGCCGAGATGGGATTTGATTACAGAGAAAGTTATTGCCATACTTTCAGAACGGCGGTTTAGAAACATTTACTTTTATCACAACGATTGAATCACTGAATCCAGTAATTAGTCTGAATCCGACAGCATGATTCAATAATTTATCTGGATCCGCCGTTGGACTCATCTTAATCGAATTAATTACATATCTGCACTTCAGGCCGCCCAACTGTGCACAAGAGGGGGGCCCTCTCCTCGCCGAATCAAACGCATTCCTACATGTGAAGGATCAAAGTGTGATGGCTCCCCGCCCCCTCGTTGCTGCCTGATTCCATCGGCGAATCGATTTGCTGACTGATCCTCGGGCCACCGAGGTAGGGCGGCAGGCAACACAATGTCGGAGGGGGAGCGTGATGGTGTGAAGCTCTGCTGAGCAACTAACTTCCGCCTGACCCAAATCGCGTGGTTATGAAAAGATGCAAGCGAGTTTGCCCGCGCCATTTTGATTTTCTGCCTTAGTAGATTCACAACAAGTTTGGTCTTCCGTCACTCGCATCCTAATTCGTAGGATACTTTCGTTGTGCATCCGCCTTGACGTTTTTCTCTCCTACTAGACCGTGCTGCGCCGTCAAGATCTCGTTCACGAATAGTATCCTCGTCACCATGACTGAAATATTGCGCGCCAGTCTCCAAGCTGCCGTTGCACCAGACAAGGCCGAGATTAGCCAGGTCAAGCACCTCTCGTCGTACAACTGGATCGAGGCACCGACGCCCACAATCGTCGTCCCGGGGGCCCCGGCTCGTTGGAGACCCCGAGAGGGTGCGAACCGCGTCTCCAAGGATTCTGGTCTCCAGTACATTGCCCAAAACGCCGCCCGCCACCCAGAGAATCCCCTGGAGCCTCTATTTCGATCATTGTATGCCGAAAATCCTCTCTTCAACCTTACCGACGTCGATGTCATCACCGACCGAAACAACATCCGCAAGCTCCTCGCGTTTGCAAGCCCGGAACCCAACAAGAAAGACGTCGAAAACTTCACAATCGATGTCGAGATCGTCAAGGACACCACGATCTTCTGCCGCGCGGAAACGGCGACGGTGAGAGTCATTGGCCCGCATGAGTTCCGTGGTCACGGGCATGAGTTTGAGAAGGCGTACACTGTGTACGCGGTGCCCAAGAGCACGGGGCACCATCGAGTCATTTCGTATCGCTTTTGCGGGCTCAAGTTCATCGTGCGCCACGAGACGGACGGCTACGTCGAGAATCTTGCCAAAGACGACTCAGGTGACGACGACGTCCTGCGCATGATGCAAGACCTGGCCCTTTCCAGCCGCCCAAAGACGACGACGGACTATACTCCCATCGGCGGCTCCAAGCTCAGGATCGGCAAGGGCGGCCAGACGGTGCCGCTTCGCTCCACGCTGGAGATCAAGACTCGGACCTTACGGAAGCCGCTTCCCTTGAGCGAGGTGGCGGCGCAGCTCTGGGCGTCGCAGACGCCGAACCTGGTGCGGGCGTACCACGACCGGGGCACGTTCCAGAAACCGCAGGTCGAGAATGTGGCTGCGCGGATTCGGCAGTGGGAGGCCGACAACGAGCCGGGTTTGCGGAAGCTCGCGTGGTTGATTAGGCGTATCACGGCTCTGGCGAAGGAGTGCGGCGGTAAGGCTAGGGTCAAGTACGATGCAAACGCGGATAAGTTGGTGGTTTCACAGGATGATGGGAGGAGGGACATGCTGCCGCATGATTTGTACGCTAAATGGAATAGTGGCGCTGCTTGAACGGGCGCAATCGGCCCGTTCCGAGGAAGAGCACTGCAAATATCCGTTTAAGGGCGGAAAAAAACAGGTGCAGATTAAAAAAAGTCTACTGTATGTAGGTAGATACAGCGCAGGATTAAGAGCAGCTAAAGTACGTACCTTTTGATCGATAATGCCATGGAACCGATCCACATTTCAATATCAAGCACTGGAACCAAAACCAGCAACCGAGCAAGCTGCCTGGCACTTGCCAGACGCAAGCTTGCAGGCAACGACTATGGGCCCCACCATTGCGCCCGCAGTCGCGCCAGCAGCAGCGTAGTAAGCCATCACAACCGCCGCAGCGCATCCAGCTTGGCAAGCGCCATATGCTACATAGTGGCCCAGCTTCCACCAGTCACCTGCCTCCGTCACCTATTTTAGAGTTTCATAGGTACAGTACGGCCAGCTGTAGACGTACTTAGGTATAACATAGCAGGGTAGTGGGTTGATAAAGGGCATATGTTAGAG